CTAATTTTTGTATTTTTAGTAGAGACAGGATTTCACCATATTGGCCAAGCTGGTCTTGAACTCCTGACCTTGTGATCCACCCAACTCAGCCTCCTAAAGTGCTGGGATTACAGGCGTGAGCCATTGTGCCTGGCCTGTTTGTAGGTTCTTTCTATTGCTGGCATGTTGAGCCATTTCCTCCTGCATCGCCCTTTCTGAGATATGGAATGAGATAACCATAAACGGCCAGAGGAATTTTATTCAGTCAGTGTGGGGCCAAACAGAGGCAGGGGCTCTGATGTAGAGACGTGGAGACAGGCTGGGTGGCCGGGATGGACGGATGTTCTAGTAGGAGTCAGCAGAGGCCCTTCCTTTAGTTCAAGTCCAGGTCGACGCTGCTATGGCTGCTTGCGTGATAGGCAGTGCCAGGGCTGGGACTGCCCCGGGAGGCTCTTCCCCACAGGCTCTGCAGGCACCTTTGGGCAGCTGCCCTCCAGGGGGCTGTGTAGCGTTGGTCGCCCAGCCCCATGGCCACAGGCACAGCTGCTGCACTGGCACTTCCCAGGGAGAGGAGGGACAACAGAGTTCCAGGCCCCAGCGGCGGGCGCTGCTCGTAGGCCAGGACTGAGAGGAGCAGCGTGGCCACATAGGGCCCCCAGCACAGCCCAAAGAGCAGCATGGCTCCAGCCTGCGCCCTTGCCTGCCTCCAGGTGAGGGCCCGGGCCAGGGCCGAGGGTGCATCGCGGCACACTGCCCGCTCCAGCCGCCGTATGTCCTGCAGCTGGCGGTGGGCAGTGGCCAGCACACGGACAGAGAGGAAGGCGGCAGCACCCACGGCGGGCAGCAGGAGCCCGTAGACTTCGAGGTAGAGGTAGGGGGCTGGGAAGATAGCCTGGGAGCTGCAATTGGCACCAGGGGTCCAGTGGTTCCACCCCAGAGCAGGCAGACTGGCAAAGAGCAGGGGGCCTGCCCAGGTGAGGAGCAGGGCCAGCCGTGTGCTCCCAGGGGGCTGAAGGGGCCTCAGGACTGCCATGTAGCGCTCCCTGTGCACCAGCAGGAGGTTGGCGAGCAGAGAGAGGAAGGAGAAGTTGGGAGCCAAGTAGAGGAGGAGGCAGGACCAGTAACCCCGGTGACTCTGGCTCCACAGCCCTGGCAACGTGGGCAACGCCAGACCCGTGAGTAGCCCAGCCAGCAGCAGGCTCAGGAAGAAGCAGCCAGCAGGTGGGCTGCGCAGGCGGCGGTCCCAAGCGATGCCCAGGGCCAGGAGCAGGTTTGCGGTGACTATGAGGCTTGCCAGGGCGAGGGAGAGCCCCAGAACCCCCTTGGGAATGGAGCTGGGCACCTCCTCAGTGTTGTTGGGCATCATCTTGGTCCTGGAGACAGGAGAGTCTTGGAGCAGCAGCCGGCATGCCTGGAGGATGGGGTGGCCAGAGTTAGGATGGGACTGTAGGGTAATCCAGGGGCGCAGACCCACAGGCTGTGGGCTCTACCATGTTCGCTGATATGTAGAAGTTTTCAATTAATAGCCAATTAAACATTTATATAAAAACTATCTGGTTTCTATTGAAAAATCAGATCTGGCAGCACATATGTCCTATATAGCCGCAACTAGCAGAGCTCACTGGCGGCCGCCCCTCGGATAGTCCCCACCCAGCCAGCTTTAGCCATTTCTTTCTTTTTTTTTTTTTTTGAGACAGAGTTTTGCTTTTGTTGCCCAGGCTGGAGTGCAATGGAGTGATCTTGGCTCACTGCAACCTCTGCCTCCTGGGTTTAAGCGATTCTTCTGCCTCAGCCTCCCCGGTAGCTTGGATTACAGGTATGTGCCACCACACCCGGCTAATTTTGTATTTTCAGTAGAGATGGGGTTTCTCCTTGTTGGTCAGGCTGATCTCGAACTCCCGACCTCACGTGATCCGCCCACCTCCCAAAGTGCTGGGATTACAGGCGTAAGCCACCACGCCCGGTCAGCTTTACCTGTTTCTGTTATCTGCCTCTTCTGGGCAGCTGTGTTTAGGCCTCTGTTTAGACTGAAAGGTGGGCCTATCCAGCCCCAAGGCATTTTGTGTATCCCTGCCTCCACAGGGGAGGCCCCTAAATGAGCAGAAAGAAAGGCCCAGGCCGGCTGGTGTGTAGTGGTCTCCAGCCATCAGGTGACAGGCTCCAGCGGGCCAGGTCTCGGGCACCCTGAGCCCTTCCCCCCATCTATCCTTGTAGCCATCACAGCTCAGTAAGCAGCCTCCGGGTAGGACTTCCAGCCCATAAATTTGACTCGTCTGCTCCACACTAGCAACAGGGTCCTTCCTGGGAGCTGGAGGGAGAAGCAGCAGGAGGGGATGCGTGGCAGTGAACGTGGAGATGCCAGCAGCAAGGAGAGGGACTCCCCCATATCCCCAGGGCTGAGGCTGAGCCCAGAGGAGAGGGAAGAGGGGCCAGTGGGCAGAGCCTCGCTTCTCTGTGGTTCTCATCTGTCCCTGACCTTCCCGCCACTCCCTGGTCTCAGTCCTCCAGTGTCATGGTCCTGCTGCCACATCCTGAGGACAGGGGGAGGGGTCCTGGGTCCTGCAGGAACTCCTGCTTCTGTCAACAGGGGAGCAGGTGCTGTTGCTAGGATCTGAGTCAATAAGGAAAGGATTCACACCTCTCCTCTCCTCCAGGACAGGGAATCAGGGCCCCATGGCCACCCTGAGCTGAAAGGAAGGAAGATGCTCCCCCTCCTTCCCAGGTTCCCCCAGCACCCCGAACCTGGGTCTTTAAGGCCTTGCTCCCTTTCCCCTCCCCTAAGCCTGTTTCCTCTTGCTTAATCTCCTCCAGTGCCCTCTACCCAGGACATCTTTTCCTCTCTAGAGGCCTTCCAGTTTCTGTTCCCTACCCCCAGCATCATCAACTCTCTTAAGCCCCGAGAGACTCAGGGTTCATTACTCCAAACCTGGCCTGAGCTAGAGCTCCTAGCCCTAATCAGAATGATTTCCCCACCCATCTCCACCAGAACAATGAGAGAGGCAGGGAGCAGCCCCCAGGGGTGATTTCCCAGCAGGGTGCACAGCCCCAAGGGTCTGGTGGCTTGGGCTGGGTGCAGTGGCCTCTCCAGGATCTGGGGTTTGGGGATGGGGGGAGTAGCTACTCACATGGCTGTCGGGAGCAGGTATTGCCTGCCCAGCCTGGGCCTTCCTGAGTGTCAGGGAGTTGCTGCAGTCAGCCCTGCAGGGGTTTGGACCATGTCTGGTGTCCTGGCTGAAGAGCACAAATGGACTGAGGGCATGGTGCCTCCGTCCGGTGGGGACAGCAGGGCCAGGCTCTCCTACCCAAGCTCTGCCCCTATCTGGGTTCTCAGAGGGATGGAGAAGTGAGGCTGGCCGGGCTCAGCCTCAGCCCCGCCTCTGAGGGGGTGGGACCTGGCATACCGTGAACTGCAGCAACTGGGAGGCCTGCTTCCCCCTCCCACCCCGTGCCCCTCTCCCCTACCACCTAGGTGACAGTTTCCCTACTCCAGCTTGGAGTAATCTGGGAAATGCATTCCAGTTAATGAATAATAATGATTTAGTTACCCCCCACCTCCTCCCCAACCCGCCCGACTTCCTGCCTCCGCTGATGCATTTACATTTAATCCCCTGGACTGGCCAGCCAGCTGACAGCACACCAGTCTCCCTCCGCACTTCCGTGTGAGCGTGATGGTGGCATTGGGGGGGTGTTTGGGGCCTGAGGATCTTCACTCTCCCATCCCGCCGCCTGAGGAGCCTTTCGGTTTACAAGGCCAGACTTGCCTTCCCGAATCTGGGGTCATTCCACACTTTTCTCAACTGCTTTCTGAGTCCAGCTCTGAACTATGAAGGACAAATGGCCCTGGGGATGTTACCTTGGGTAAGGTATATGCTGGGCCTCGGTTTTCGCCTATGGTAAAATGAGAACAAGAAAAACCACCTCTAATTAAGGTTGTGGTGGGGAATATCATGGGATATTCCCCATGTGGCTGCCTATACCCCAGTGCTTGGCCCTTGATGGGTAGGCGTTTGCCTCAACAAACCACTCCCTCTCCTCCCCGAGATGAAGAGGCATGAGCTGGCGCTGGAATCAGAGCTGTCTGCATCCTTTTTTTTTTTTTAAAGATGGGGTTTCACCATGTTGGTCAGGCTGGTCTTGAACTCCTGACCTCAGGTGATCCGCCCACCTTGGCCTCCAAACTTTTTTTTTTTTTTTT